ACCTCCGTGGTGTGTGAGTAGTATGTACGCCGGTTTTCGCGGTGTCGCCAACTCAAAGGTCATGGGTTCGAATACCGGTGGAGTCAATGTTTGTATAATATTATATACGAGTATTTGTACAGTCAGATGCTTTAATTTGAGATAAGTTTCATTGTAATGTGGTTGTCCACTGGAATATGTAGGAGGAATACGTTAAAACATCAAGTTGAAATCTTTAAAAATTTATTGACTTTTCTGAATATTAACATCCTTTCGAAGAGTATAATTTCATTTTTAATTTTATCATTTATATCATTTGTCAGTGTCGTACAAGAAAATCATATTGACAATCTAAGAGAATGTAATCAAATTCATAAAATTTTATGAATAATTGATGTGCATTTCGCACATCAAAATTTTCACTAATTAATTTTTACTTTATTATTGTTTTATATACTTAAATTATTTTTTATAAATGGTACCAATGAACACTATCGGAAAGAACAGTGGGAAAATTAAATAGTAAGTTCATTAATTGTGCATTTCTGTACGTTTTTCGGGTTCGTTAGGTTGCGTACAAACTGAGCAGTTTTCTCTACTTACATAATTTATTCAGTGATTAAAACTTTGTTATATCAACGTATTCTGTAAAAAAAACTGCTCTTATGACGACTGTTTGCTGTCCGATATTCAAATGAGGGTCCCAAATTAAAGAACGTGACTGTACCTAAGTTATTGCTGTTTAGGTGTATATTTATAATAGAAAAATATATTTATATATGTATCACTACAAATGTATTTCTATCTGTTACCCTAGTATTCAATAACACAATCCTTACAGTGGTTACTTTTTTGATAGCGCACTTGTAATTTCTTCTTTATTTGATTTTCGGGGCAGATTATTTTTATTAGAATAAAATTAAGATTCAGTACTTAAAGTAATACAGAACTAATTTCGTAATGTTGTGATAGTTGCTATAATAATCATTATGTTTCCAACCACGTTCCGCTCACCCATTCTGACCGTACCATAATTCTTACGGAAAGCCTGTATAAAGATTCGTATTACGCACCCGCTCATGTATGAGATATCGCACATGGGCCAATACCAATGGCGTCGGTAGTACCTAGCATGAATGTTTTATCAAGTCGCTGTATTTACATAAACGTTTGAAAGGAAAAGGTTCAGTACCTTACGCACGAACCAATTCGAATAGAAGTTAAATGACAATGCCAGATTCTGACCCACCATTTACAGTAATATTTAATATACAAAAAAAAAACTGATTTAGTAATTACTTTGTAAAACTTGTAGATATAAAATAAATATTAAAATAATGTGTACCTACTGTTTCGGTTAGAAGAAGAACGAAAACAATGGCATATGCGTTTTGTTGCACGAAAAACAATAAAATATCAAAAAAGTTTTCGAAAAATATCATTCTCTTTTTTAACATTAGGGATCTAATACGCTTTTCAGTTATAAATATAATTAATTTATGTTTATAAATAAGTTTAATAATTATAGTACCTTTTATTTTTTATGCGCATACACATTTTAAGTGGTAGTACCTATGCGAAACTAACCGCCATTCTTGATTGATGTCCTTTTGTTTGACATTTCCTTTTCTTATGACTGTGGTGCGGTGCGAAAAAGTGAACGAAACGAAGACGAATCAGGTGTTTTCAACAATAATTACGACTTTTGATTTTGAATACGGTCTCGATCACTCCTTATAAACGATCTTGAGGCTTTGTTTTCAGCATACCGATTTATTGTTTGTGATTTGGAAGCATGTTGAGATGCATTAATTGCTATTTATGTGTCGATAGTCAGCGAAGGCATGTCGTTTGTACACGAACGATTTGTATGTTTGCCTGTAATGAATAAACTCAGAAACCCTCACAGAGCAATAACAATCGAAAAAAAGATGAATAGGTACCTAGAAACTACCTATTCATTAAAGTTATGAAAGCGCCTAATTAATTCTTTATAGCAATCCCAATTTTCTGCTCAATTGCAGCTCGAGAAACGTATGATGTACTCTCTGTTAGTATATTATTAAAAACCACAAATTCTAGAGAATTAACAACTTTACTATTTTGTTTCCTAATATTACAGCTATCAAATGTCATTTATCGCATTCGTGTAAACCAATTTTATCGGGTGGGTCAAACCTCTATAGAACTTCTGGCATTGTCCTTTCGATCGTGGTACGCGTCAAATGTCACGAAGTTCTTATAGAAATTTGAACAGCGCCACAACGGACGTAAGGAGAATTCAAAATTTTGCATATAAAACTAGCATACCGATTTATTGTTTGTGATTTGGAATCATGTTGAGATGCATAAATTGCTATTTATGTGTCGATAGTCAGCGAAGGAATGTCGTTTGTACATGAACGATTTGTATGTTTTCCTGAACCAAGATCGAATTCAACTATTCGAATTCGATTTTGGTTCATGCTAAGGGTACAGTAAAGGGGATAATACCGCGCGTCACACGTGCTGTTATCTGCAAAGAAAATATGAAGGGAACTAACAGCATGTCATTAACCTTTGGGATGACCAGCGTCAGAGAGAGTACCGAACCTTGTGGAACCCTAGCATTTATCATGGGTTCGGAGCAGCAGTCATCGATAACTACTTTAATACTCCTGCTGGCCAAGCAGTTGGATATCCACTTGCAAAAGCCCCTCAGGCAGCGCGTAAAACGGTAACTATCAAAAAGTGCTCTATGCAAGACCCTGGCAAACCAGATATCCAGGCTCACTGTAAGGGCTCCACTTTTGCTATCGACGGCTTTAGCCCAACGGTAAGTGAGATAAGCGAGAAGATTACCAGCCGAACGACCGTTTTGGAAACAGTAGTGTCGATAGCTAGTTAGCTGGTATTCCTTAAGGTATCTCAAAAGGCGGGTGTTCATCAACCGCTTCATCACCTTAGAGAGCAGAGATGTGATCTCCACAGGCCTGTAATTTGCAAGATCAGATTAATCACTTTTTAAGTACACTATTTTATCCCTTATAAACGTGACTCGAGAGACTGATTGACAAAATAAAATGGCTGCGGGACTCGAACGACGATCGAGCGTAAAACGCTTTACATTTTATAATTAAGGTTTCTTCTCTTGAAGTCATATTTTAAAAATTAATTAATTTTTTTCCTATAGATGCGTAAGGAATAATGTTTTTGTGACAAGTTAAGTAAAAAAACGATTATCTGAAAAAACGGTTTTATGTTTAGAGAAAACCGAGTTTTAAAATCTATCGGTTATCCGGTTGCATGCCCTTATTTGGAATACTTAGTTAGGAAATGCCAAAAGTTAAAGATTCGTTTGTTAGCTTTAACTTGGTGCAGTATTATGAAACTACATATTACGGCAGTTTCAGTAATAGATAGTTAAGCACGTTGCTATTTTACGACCTTTTGTCTAACTTGCAACGGAATTCAGACTGCTTACAGTATTCTGGAATTATGGGCGTCAGGTGACAGCGTTGAGCCGAAAAGTCTACTCATTCATCACATCACGTATGACGTCATAGTCTATGGATCAATTTAAATGCTTGTTCGATTAATTCGCAACAAAAACTTCATACAAAAGACGTCTTGACACTATGGCGTCCACTGGTGACGTAATTTTTCCTAAACACCCTCATTGCGTGACAAAAAAAGATGCACAAAATGCCGCAAATAGAAAGTTACACAAGTAAGTAACAAACATGACGTGTTTGTTATTTATTTGTGTTGACACAGTGTTCAGAATATGATTTCACGATTTTATAAAAACGAATAACCTCGAGTTAGACCTTTCTAGATTTTTTACAAGAGCAAATGTTTCCAACTGATGTTAGGTGTTCGTGGAAGCCATACGCACATTAAGCTAGAGTAGAAGTTTTAAGAGCATTGCATTTACTCAGAATAGGCTTTTTCACAGTATACAAAACAAAGTACCAATTGTTGTCATGTGTATTTAACATGAATATTGGGAGCGTATATAGGGCGCGTATTTAACATTAAGATTGGAATATTTCAATATTCTGACAAAAAAGTAGTTGATAATATTACAAAAAAACATGAAATAAAAAAAAATTGATCTATTGTCACGCGACCGAAATCGCCTAGGTTACCTGCTTGTAAACATGTGTCGGCTGTTGAAGTGTCATTAATCTTTATTGTTTGACGTGTTATTGACAGCCCTGTGACGCCACGTGCCTGTAAACGCTCCATATTCGCTAAAGAATCGTTTCCGCGGTATATTTGAAAAAAGATTTTTATTTTCATTTTTCTAACTGCTGTATACGATAGATTATAAATATCCACTTTTCATGGAGTCACTGTAACTTATAAATACTGTATGAATGTTTTCAAAACTTTTCAAATAGCCTATTCGAACTACTTGATTCCATCGCTTTGATGTGAGCTTTAGAAGGGTAACAACTATTCAGTGAAATTTTAAGGACTGTTTTGCTGCTCCGAAATAGCTTTGCAATTTTTACTTAACCCTCCTGAAATGATTTAGACATAAAATAACGTGGCATCGCACAGAGACAGTTAAATCTTACAAACGACAATCAAGACAATCAGGATACAAGGTTTTTAGAATTCTGAGCTCACTCTCGATAAGTGTCAATGGTACAATATAATATTTTCTTACAGTCTTGGGTCATTCTGGGGTTAGGCACGGGCCACTCGGCCGCCCTCAATGTAGACCGGGGATGGGCAAACTACCCTCAAACGGCGACCATAATTTTATTCATATATTCCGACAAAAACCTCCCCTCTGTCAAACTTGGTACCTATCTGTTTACCCTGCAGCTGAGCTGTAGGGGCATTCGTTACTAAGCTATATTTTGATTTCATAAACAAATCCTAAGTGGCTCGCCATAGATTCTGATAGTGATGTAGTCCATATTCATCGCATCAGTGACTTCGTAGAATTCGTCCTTGACATCGTTCGTAATTTCTTTAAAATAGAGTTCAATTTTCAAAAGCCACATATGATATAATGCTATTCTTACCTGGGCCCGGGTGTCGGCACGTCCGCCGGTCCGTCGTCGGCGTCGTAGAAGTCGTCTTCGCCCTCGGACGACGAATACGACGTGTCTGGAACTAGGAGTGACATCGGTTGCCCTGTGACAAATAAAACGTCAATGTCAATTTAACATTATCGTATGGGCTAAATATGGTTTTAGTTAGATTGAGAATTATCAAAATTGCTGCAATTGGGCCTTAGATACTTTGTGGGTTAGCTACAATGCGAAGAGATGGTGCTGCCTGGCAGCCTAAGAAATACTAGTAGAAATTCGACACTGCCATTAAGGTTGCGGTAGCATAATTGGTCAGTGCATCTGCCCGGATTGAGTCCCGTCTCCTAAGTGGACCGCGTGGAATTTATTCTAGTTAAATTTTCTTAAGACTTAAAACATCTAGCAGTTAAATGCTTAAAAAATAAATGGAATAACTCTAATCATGAAAGGAGTATGTGGTGTGAAGGTTTCATTAACTATGTTCACTATTCAGTTGGCATGAAGTCATTTTCAGGAAATAATTTAGTGGAGGGTACTTTTCTGAATCAAATTATCTCTTGTAAAGACAAGGATAAAAATATGCGTCTTATGAGGAAGGCGGCTGACATTAGCCGGCGAAACGACAACGTATTTGGCAGAAAAGCATTGTCTATTGACATTACCTAGAGTTACTAGATTCCACGAATAAGTAGTACACTAAATTTAGCAATCTATTGAAGAATTGTGACAATTTCAACTAGGATAGCTTTTTTTTTTTAGTTTGTGTTTTAATAAAGAGCTGTTTTAAATTATCTTCATTGGGAAGCCGGTGCTTTCTGTTCACACCGTGCTTCGACAAAGTATGTATATTTTTAGGTAGTTTATATTTGTTGAGGTTTGTTATGTGACAGTTATTTCTTGAATTATTTGAGTTAGTGAATGTATTAGAGTAAAAGTGTGCTTGAAACGCTCTTCTACGTAAGCGTTTCGGTTAAGTAATTAGTGGAGATTGTAGGGGTTAGGACAATTGAGGAGCTGGCGAACAAAACGGTATAATTTCACATCTGGTCAAGCTACTTTTCTTTTACAGTCCGGAGCTATCGGGCCCTTTGAATTTGAATCTCAAATAAGTTTCAATCAAAACGCCCTAATACAATGTTAAAATTACTAAATTTATAAATTAAATACCATTGTGGGTTACCTACAATGCGAAGAGATGGCGCTGCCTTACAGCTTAGGGCTAGGAAAATTTCGACGCGGCAATCAAGGCCGTGGTAGCATAATTGGTCAGTGCATTAGCCCGGATTGCGAAGGGTGCGGGTTCGCGTCCCGTCCGCTGCCTGGTCCGCGTGGATTTTTTTTCTAGTAAAACTTTTCTTTAGATTTAAACATGTAGCAGTTAAATGCTTAAAAATAAGTAAAACATAATTAAGAACCATGCCAAAAGATCACTGGAGGTATGTCATTCAGTTTTATACAGCTCCTGTAAAATTTAATTTTATGTAATTATACCGTTTTGTTCGCCAGCTCTTCAATTGTTAGTGACGATAACAAAGTCATTTCGTGCGGCGGCGTACCGAGGACAGTGTTGCATTAAGTGGTTGGACAGAACTTTAACCGGATGAAGCTTGAACTGGCTATTTGCAAGATTCTCAAAAGCACGAATAAGAGATTAATGACCTCGATACATTTATTATTAACTAGTGGCCCGCCCTCGCTTCGCTTAGCTGTAGTGTAGACTAAAATGACTCCTCATATAATTATGAAAAAACCTGAAAATGGTATATTTGCCTTTTCCAAACTTCTATTGACATCACGTCACTCAATTGTTTTGCCTTCCCGGAACCTCTCCACTAACATTTGAAATTTATGGTATGGTATTAAAGTTCAAATTGACTTTCAAGTATTTTTACAAATCGTTTGTATGGGAGTAGAGAAAAGTGTTGTTCTAGGACTTTTTCAGACATTTTTTTTAATTTTTCTCTGCGTAAGAACCATCCTCGTACTTGAAGGAATATTCCTCGCATGGTTTTTTAGCGGTTAATACATACGTGACGCTTCTATGTCTCCCAACGGCGGAAGGGGGTGTGTGGGTGATGGCAGTTCTCTACACTCAGCTCCCAGCTCCACTCTCGTCGCTGTCTCTCCATCTATGTACAAACATGTAATAATCAACTTTAAGCGGTTCTAATAAGAATCCAGAAAGACGTCACAAACGCCGTCTCATCATCAATTTCGCAAATACGCGATTATCGACTCTAAGGGGTTGCAATAACTATCAATAAGACGTAGTTGCAAGCACCATTGTCTTTCCATCTATATACAGATTTGCCATTATCAACTTTATAAGGTTACAATAAGAATCAAAAGACGTAGCCGCAAGCGTCGCCGTCTCTACATCTATATACAGATACGTGAATATCAACTTTAAGCCTTGACGTTAAGACGTCAACTATTCGATATTCAATTTTAAGTTCTTACAATAAGAATAAATCCAAATCCCTTATCCAACTTATATTATAAATGTGAATGTTCATTTGTTGTGTGTTTTTATGTTTGATACTGAATCACGCAAAAACTACTAAACGGATTTGGTAGAAATTTTGGTATTTGGTACGCATATGACCTGAATTGAGACATAGGATAACATTTATTACTGTGATTCTTAAAAAACGAAGTCACGGGCGGCCGCCAGTTAATAATACATAAAGGAAGAATGAATTTGGACTATACAGTTGCTGTTTTGCTCAAATCATTTAATTTACATACTTCATCATCATCATCAGCCTATTAATGTCCCATAGCTGGGGCACAGGCCTTCCCTATGGATGGAATAGGGAGATTGGGGCATGCCACCACGCGGGCCCAGTGCGGATTGGTGGGTGCTAATGACTCCAGATGCAGCCGGGACCAACGGCTTAACGTGCCTTCCGAAGCACGGAGGAGCAAGAGATAGTACATTTTTTTGGTCACCCATCCAATGACCGACCACTGCGAAAGTTGCTTAACTTCAACGATCGCAGCCGAACGCGTTAACCACCTGCGCCATTGAGCTCCTCATTCTTCTTGTAATTATTTGCATGCAATTAAAATCTATTTTTAATGATGCCAAAGAAGTATATCATGCGCGTATATAAGCACGCGCATCCATTTATTTTTATAAATATGTCCGACAGATGACTCCAATTCAGCTGATGTTAAGTGACGGTGGAGTCTAGACACGAAGATAGCTGGTAAAGTAGGTGTACCTGCTACACCAGCCATCCTCACTCTGCCGGCCTGCACTTTGCTTCTTCACGTCTCTTTTAAATTGTGGCGACTGGATTCCAAGAATGCTGACTTGATATAAGCGTCGACGCGCGGTCCGCGGTGACGCGAGCCAGTCGCACATTACCACCGATCCCGTCAGGTTCATTCTCAAGTCATTGTATTAGTACGCATAACGTTAGAAAATAGACAGTATAATTTGGAGTCAGAGTAATTTAGATGAACATTGTGAAGTGAATAAACAGTCAGTGATTTATATAGCAGCTTTTATTTGACATTCACACCAGACCCTAACTTAGGTAAAGTGGCAACAATATAAGTCAAGAGAGACACATATGCCAAAGTGATAACTAAGCCAAAAAATGATCCCGTGTTATAGGAGGAAAGGAACATGTGAGCTGGCAAAACATTATTCCATTGACGGATAGTGCGACAAGAATGCTAGGCTTTTATAAATACTCAGCTGTAGATGCAGCAAGAACCAACAGTTTAATGCGTCATTTTGGTCACCCGCTCTGTGACCGGCCATTGCAAAGTTGCTTGGCTTCTACGATTATCGCTGCGTAATCGAACTTCTCCTCTAATGAAATTATATATATATATATATCTTATCCCTTTACCTTGTTTGATATGTGTTTGTGGAAGATTCGTTGGTCCTTGGTATATACCGTTCACAGGATTTACAGTATTCTGTAAGAAAAAAGAACTATGAACATAATTATAAATAAATACGCTACACTTATAATAACTGTAAGTTTCACTCCTAGGAGGAAGATTAGCCAAATCTTCTAGTTTAGTAAACCTTATTTATAATCACACTAATATTATAAAGGCTAAAGTTTGTGAGTGTGTATGTTTGTTACTTCTTCACGTCTAAAGGGCTAGAGTTAGCTGACACCCTGGATTAATATAACATAGGCTACGGTTTACTGCGGGAAAATATCCCTAAATAACCGCAACACCGCGGGGCACAGCTAGTATGTGTATATATGTTAAGAAAATCTTTGAAAATCTTCTTGAAACAAAACATCAATCAGGTCAGTGTCTAAAATGTAATGTAATATAAAGTTAACGAGATGGTTTTCACCCGGGCCGGTGCCGTGTAAGCTTGTTTATAAGCAAGGTTTGGACGTGTGAACCGACCCAATACCGTCGCTAGTGCCAGTGTCGTTAACCTCCATAGTGTCCCATACCTAACTGACGACGACGACTGGCGTAGACACGGATTAAAACCGTGCCTAGACCCGGGTAAAAATCGTCCCGTTAATAAGCGCCCCAACTGCGCGAGAGGCGCATATATAGAGCTATAGGCATGTGAGTGTCGCTCAGACCACTATTTAAATCTATATTAGTTATCAACAATATGAAGGAATGGCGCAGCCTAAGAAATTGAAACTAAAACAAAACATATTTACATACGAGTATATATGTTTGTTTTGGACCCGGTAGTATAATGTCTAATGCATTCGCCTGGATAGCAAGTGCTGACAGCCAAGCACGAACTTTGACAACTCCGTAAACATATCGCATTGACAAAGTTTTTATGAAAAGTAAGCAGTGCCCTTAGCGGACGTTAGAACAAACTTGCTTCTTCCATACAAATTTTGACGGTGACGATCACGGATCTTTTAAAGTTCGTGCTTGTGCTTCTGGGGGATATTCGCCTAACGGAAATGCTTTGGAAAGCGCTAACGCTTTCGACTTCATTTTGTTATTTCTGACCGCCGAAGCTTTTCAAATTGCAAAAGAAAAAAAAAAGGCATATGAACACATCAGGCGGCTAGAAATAACAAAATGAAATCGTAAGCGTTAGTGTTTTCCAAAGCATTTCCGTTAGGCGAATGGCTCCCAGGTAGTATTTCTAATGAATTCGCCCATATATCAAGTGCTGTGGGCCAAGCACGAACTTTGACAACTCCGTAAACATATCGCATCGTCAGTTTCTATGAAGGTAAGCAGCGCCTCTAGCGGACGTCAGAACAAACTTGCTTCTTCCATACAAATTTTAAAGATAACGATCACGAATGTTTTAAAGTTCGTGCTTGGGCCTCTGGTTCGTTTTCAGCTTTGTACCTGGGACAAGTTCAAAGTTTGCTAGTCAAGATTTTCTTCAAATATAAACCTTACGTTAATATTCTGGTTACCGAAGCTTTCTTTCATATTACAGGTAACCGTGTTTCCAGATTTTTTTATTAATGGAGTTTGCTTAAGTTTAAGTTGCTTAGAAGAAAATTTCGCTAATGTTTACTTGGGACAGAAAAAGATTACTTAGCAAGTAAATCTTACTCTTACTGGTAATATCATCGAGCAAATGAGGAGACGGCGGCATACGATAATGTAATTCGTAGTCATCAAATGTGTCCTGACGTCATCATGTAAAGGGGAGTGGCCTATTTTGTGTATTCTAATCTGAGCATATTTTATAGTCTGAATTCAAACTTAACTGTTATAACAACAAATTTTTATATTTACTCTATAGATAAGACTATATATGTAGTATATTGGTATGGGTAACCTTTGGTGTATTTTGAAGTTTTGAAATATTGTAACTTAATGCCGGCACTTCACTTGGCTATTCGTTTTTGCTTTTTGTATACTTGTATCAGTTTGTCGTTATGATTATTACACACACACATTATTCTTCTCAGTACAAGGTCTCCCGCCGTAGTTTTGCGAACCGATGGCGAAGCTTCTTGACCTTCACAAGTGCTTGTAACAGCCTAGACTGAATAAATGACATTTCATATCATTTCCTCTCATCATGATTTATAAAGCATGAGAAGGACAGACTGATGTCATGTTTACAAATAGCAAACACGAATAGTCAAGTGTAGTGCCGGTATAAAAAAAAATATCGCTTTTGTGTTGAATAGAAATATGCACTGAACAAATTAACGTGAACAAGTGGATAAATAAGGCTTTTGAACAGGTAATAGAGCAATAATGTACGCACATGGACAGGGATTTCGGATAATATTAGAAGAAATACTTTGGTGTTAAGAGGGGAGGCGGGCAATGTTTTTTACCATATAGACGTTCTCGACTGATTCCTCCTTCATATTTATCACGAAAGAGTTGATTTTGAGAGAGATGAGAGATTTAAAAAGCATTTTTAAAAAAACAAAACACAGAGGCATAGTAACTACTTATTATTCTATGGGTAAAATTTCTTTACATATAATCTAATTTTCGAGCAGGAAATCGTCGAGAGCCATACCAGGAAGTTTGCATTTTTTATACGTAATTTTCAGCGTTAACTACCGTTTCCTTATCACAAGGTATTTGACAATGCGTGACACGTGTTCTTTCAAATACCTATTTCCCAAAAGTCTCGCAGCTCGCGTCCGCTCTTAAGGTCGAAATTTGCCTGTCAACTTAATACACAAGTTTCTATGGAGCGTCGGTATCTATTTTGTATTGGAGGGTTTGATTCATACCTGTGTTAGTAGGCTTCTATTCTCAGTGCAATTTCCTATTCAACTGTACTCTCAAACAAAAACGGCAAGAATTCTAAGCGTAAATAAAATAAGTTATACCTTAGCTATTTGAAGAAGCACTATGGAATGTTTAATGTTATCCAACATTGCCTGCAAAGGAAAACAGTAATGTAGAAGCTGTATATAGCTGTATATAAAATCTTCTAATGACACTGAATAATTACATATTTTGTTATCATGACAATAGAGCTCAAATTCGATTAGAACAGGTTTTAAAGCACGTACAACTCGTATCCTCAAAGAAATTAATCGAAAATGCCGACGCAAGACATTCTGTGTTACTGAGAATAGCACGTGCGTGAAGGACAGGTGTCATACGTCATTTGCGATTGCTTTCTTTAATGACACGAGTTATATGCGGATCAAAAAAATGTAGCTATAGATCATAATATGGTTAGGGTTTGTATAGTTTCTTCATTGTATTTCTTTTAATTACAATAGAGATTTATAAACGATTAAAAGTTATAATTCAGTGTCTACAGAATTCGGATAGCGTCATGAGCAGTACTAATATGAATGAGATTTTTCTTTAGATAGCCTCTTTCGAAGTATCTTCTGTTGTCGACACAGCGTAGAAGACCTTTTTATAGCTTTTATTTAATCTCTTCAACGAATTAGAAATAATAAGAAATACAAACTGAGCTTAGTTCCATGCAAACTGCGATCAACACGCCGATCATGGGATTGGTTGGGATTTCCGTTTGACATTATTTTACCCAATGAATGGATAGCCGAATTCATTTGCAGATACTTGATTTGTCAAATTCTTTTGCTTTGTCTGTTTTCATATAGCGTTGACATTATTTTACCCAATGAATGGATAGCCGAATTCATTTGCAGATACTTGATTTGTCAAATTCTTTTGCTTTGTCTGTTTTCATATAGCGTTGACATTATTTTACCCAATGAATGGATAGCCGAATTCATTTGCAGATACTTGATTTGTCAAATTCTTTTGTTTTGTCTGTTTTCGTGTAGCGTTAGTATTAAAGTTTAGTTGAATAAGTTTGGAACCATGTTTTAGCGGCTTTTGTAAGAGAGTAATGCTTCCATATCATTTCTAATTTGTTGATTCATTTAAATACATTTTGTTTTACTAGTGATTTTTATGTCAATTAATTGATATTATAAGAAAGATATATAAAAACTATAAAGAATGTCCGCAACATCTTCGTTTGCAGATACAAAGTATATTTTTCTGACACAACGTCACACGTTTTATAGCTGTACTACTTCAGTATACCATCATCAGGTTAATACTATTCCCACTGCGGAGGCACAGACCTTTACTGTGGACGGAATATGGGTCACAGGCCGTGACCCATCACGCGAGCCCAGTACAGCTTGGTGGGCGCTAATGACTGCAGATGCATCCGGGACTAACTGCTTATCGTGCCTTCTGAACACACAAAGGCGTTTCTTACTCGTGGTCCACCTAACAAATTCACCTGGGTGGACTCCGGAGACATCCCTGAACCTTGGTTCACCTGGGTGGACCACGGGTATATTATACGCCTATGGTTTGTTTTCACCTTAGGCTGTATGTCCACTGGAGCGGAGCGAGCCTGCGGAGCGGCTAAACGGATAAATATTAACCAATAGGATTGCACAAAATCTGTCTACTGTAAAAGAGCGAAGATTTTGTCCAATCCTATTGGTTAATATTTCTCAGTTTCACCACTCCGCAGCCTCACTCCGCTACAGTGATCAGGCAGCCGTAATGTTCTCATTTAGTTTTCCATAAGTATAAAAAAAATCGTATTCAGTAAAAATACCAGTAGACCATAAATAGTTAAGAGAAAAAAAATCTCATAAATAACCAGTTATTTTTTTTCCATTTTCATAACCAAAACCTTTTTTTAGCTCTGTATGGTCTCCGGGTACTTTATCGGAAGTATGATTTATATGGATTACTAAAATCGTCGTTCTATTCCTCAATAATAATATATCCGGGGTCCGCTCAGGTGAACCAAGGGTCAGAACAAGTCCCCTTCCACCCAGGTAACTTATTAGTTGGACCACGGGTAAGAAATGCACACAGGAGCTCAAAACACTAAATTATTGGTCATTGAGATATTCCTTTTGTAACACTGTGCCCTTTTGTTGCACTATATCCCACTGGACCCTATTATGTTGTTAAACATTGGTACATGAGGCTTTACTAAACACCCGCCATTCTGCATTGGGCCCGCGTAAGGTACCCACTGATCTCCCAGTGTCCATTAGGTCAATGCAGTGGCTAACTTACAAGCTGATTGCTGACAATTTTATATTTGAATTAAAACCATTTAGTCCAACTAACTATATTGCGTTTCATGGCCACAGTACAGTGGTTTTTAGTTATTTTTAATTTATCAATAAATATGTTTGTTTTCTACAAATAATACAAAACCCTTGAATGATGACGGGGTAAGCGAAATTCTATTTAGTCCGTTAGTTTGATTAACAAAAAATAATGCAACCGTAATTTTTCTTTTGTCAATCAAATCAAACAAAAAATTACAAAGATAAGGCGCGTCAAAGATTGGGAGTGACGTCACTTCTAAGTAAGAATCGAGCGACATTTCCGATGAATGTATCTCTGTAATCTTTTAATAATGCGAAAAAAGAAAAAAATACTTTTCCAATACTTTTTGATAATCTACCTGATAGACGAAGAACAAAAAAGGAAGTCATCCCTATTATATGAAATGTTGACTCACATTGGAATGGTCTAGTATGACTTGCCCTCTACTTTTCTCTTGTGGATCTGCTAGCTCAGACACTCGTGTGCTCATTTTCTGTAACAAACATAAAATAATAAGGTATTTGACAAGTTTTAGAAAACTGTCACACGTTATTTTCTAATGTTTATGGAGTCAATACAAAGTAGAAATTTTTAATTCTGGTCTGTAATTGAGTAAAAAACTGAATTAAAAATTAAAATTTGAAGTTGCCGCGAAAACTTTTCACTGGACATTATGGCGTCTCACTAGTATGAGACGTCACACGACTGACATTAAATGATCAAACGATAGAATGTAATGTCACTGTGGCCGGAAGTTAACTAGCATGTGACGTCATTTTAGTATTGGCCTTTCAGTCACGTGACCATGAAGAAAAAAAAAACATTTTTATGTATGATTTTATACAAAAATATAAATTATTTGTTTTTTCAGAATGGTAAAATTGCTACTTATATTCATATTAAACACAGATGCCAAAAATTAGTTAATTATTTTTCATAGTGTCAAATACGCTATATAACATCGGTTAGCACTCTGAGAAGTGAATTAAATTTAAGTTATTGATGTCTTTATGTTAGCAAAAAGAATTCTTAATTGACATCTCTGAGTGTGACTGTATATGACATGAGCTACAGAGGGGTTTCCTTTGTCAAATAGAGCCGTCTCGTATCGTTAAATCAAAACACAATTATCACTTCCGTAAAATTTGGGGCCACCTTGTATTAGTGCTTTTGCTGATATATGTTATAAAAGGCAGAAGGCAACACTACATTGGCAGGGAACCGGAGTTTAATACCATGGAGAGAGAAATACGGAATAGGTACTTTTTGACGTTACAACTTACAAGTAGAATTCACAAGCATAAAATTTTACAAACATTGTATTTTTTTTGATAAACGTAATTTATACGAACTTGTACCGTGCCTCAATCGAACGTTACTAACAAAACAAACCTTTCTGGAATGAACTCAATCTTCGCATCTGTAGGATCCTGTGGCCGCCATCCATTAGTAGTTTTGATGTTCTCACCATCACACCATTGCTAGCTTCAAAACACAAGCCATTCATATCAGAACTCACCGAAACGAGTTCGATCATGATCTGAAGATAAGTGTCCGCCTCAGATATCCTCCGCGCCAGGTCTCCGTGGCGGTGCCGCGGCGCTGGCATTGAGCGCGACCAGCGCTTGCGTCGCCCGTTTGATTTTCTCACCATCACACCATTGCTAACTTCAAAACACAAGCCATTCATATCAGAACTCACCGAAACGAGTTCGATCATGATCTGAAGATAAGTGTCCGCCTCAGATATCCTCCGCGCCAGGTCTCCGTGGCGGTGCCGCGGCGCTGGCATTGAGCGCGACCAGCGCTTGCGTCGCCCGTTTGATTTTCTCACCATCACACCATTGCTAACTTCAAAACACAAGCCATTCATATCAGAACTCACCGAAACGAGTTCGATCATGATCTGAAGATAAGCGTCCGCCTCAGATATCCTCCGCGCCAGGTCTCCGTGGCGGTGCCGCGGCGCTGGCATTGAGCGCGACCAGCGCTCGCGTCGCCCGTTTGATTTTCTCACCATCACACAATTGCTAACTTCAAAACACAAGCCATTCATATCAGAACTCACCGAAACGAGTTCGATCATGATCTGAAGATAAGCGTCCGCCTCAGATATCCTCCGCTCCAGGTCTCCGTGGCGGTGCCGCGGCGCTGGCATTGAGCGCGACCAGCGCTCGCGTCGCCCGTGCCGCGCTATCGTGTCTTCGAGCGAACGAACCCAACGTTCCCGCTCTGAACCGTCCCTTGCCTGAAACAACAAGGGTTTTGAGAGGTTTGGTTTTTACGTTTCATAATAAGGAGGTAAAAGTTTACTATATTAATTTTAAACATGTAACTGGATTTACAAATGTAAAGAAAATATAACAAAAAACAACCACGCAGTCTAGGCAGCAGGCGAGATTCAAACTCGCACCCTACGCTATCCATATCAGTGCATCCGCCCGTGATTTTTTTTCTAGTTTAATTTTCTTTAGATTTATCTATATCTTTAAAAAAAACTGGAATCGAACCTGGGTTACTCGCATTCGAGGCGAACCGTTATTCCCAGTCGCTTTCGCGGGCCACCGTAGGCAAATGGGAATAAATAAACTGAAGTGAATGCAAAGACTTAAGCGCCATTTGTAGGCGGCAATCCCCGCGGGGGCGAATGGGAATAAAGACCAATTGTGCCGACCGCTTTGCTTCTGCGAACTAACCAGACCTGCCGAAATACTCTGATATGAAAGAGTTAGGGCGAAAGACCAAGCGGTCTTATTCAAGTTTTATCGCTATAAGAGCTATGTTTGAATATTTCAAGTCTCTTTCTGAAATGGACTCGATCATCACCCTTTATACTCTTAGGGTTGACAACGGGGATAATACGTTGTTCCTTACAAACGATTTATTTTATAGACAGTTCCTAATGTAGGTAATTTGGTTGATATAAAGTTAACCGGACACAATTATTAAGTTATCGTATGACCAAGCATTGACAGTTATGAAAAACATCATAATCTAATACGAGTAATTCTGTAACAGATATTCGGCATGAATTTCATATTTTAGTCCAAGAGAAGAAAAGAGTAAATACCCATACCCGCACGAATTGGAGCACGCCAGCCAGGAGATACCGACACCTTTTCAGAAACTAAATAACACTATTCCGCAGTGTTGAGATAAGTCAAAAGAGTTTCACGAAGTAAGAATTTCGATCAATAAGGAAGGCAAAGGAGATAAAACTTAAAGCAGCCATACAAGGACTACACGAGCTGGAAGTCAGTGATCAACATGAACGGACTGCTCAAGCGTCAGTTATCAACATGCACGGACTGCTCAAGCAGTCAGTGTCAATAGTTTGATTCTGCCATTTCACCGTGCTGCCAACCGCCCGAAGAAGTCGCAACTGCTCGAGCGGTTCCGTGTATGTGTGTGTACATAACTGCGTAGTAGAAGTCACTGTGAAGTTGCAGCTTGAAGCAGTCCGGATGGAATGCCGTCCGTCCGTCTGTCCGTGTATACTACGAAGTTACTTACGAAGTTTCAATCTTCATCAGCAGCCTATTTAAGAGCCCTTTCACACTTTTTGCAAAAAATCGTAATTTTTGAGCGCCTAGTTTACCTCCTTAGAAAAGATTTTGACTATTTGCAATAGAAGTAAACAGTAGATTTATTCTTTCTATTGTAAGTTAATGTAGAATATTTGCAAATTTTATTTTCCTTTCTTTTTTACTGATCATTCTGCTGCAACTAGTTTACGGAAAAAACGATAATATGCACAACTTCAAACGCTTCAATCTCTCAATAATGTTCAATAAATTAGATCAAATTAAATACTACGACATCAGAAATATATTTTTGTGATTAATTATCGAAAAAAACATATAACCTCCGTGAGTTTTTCCAAAAAATAATGCAGGTTTACCTTGTATTTTGATATTGAATTAAATAGAATTACTATCAAAAACTTTCATAAAACAATTCTACCATCATTGAACTACTGAAATATGTATATATTTTTATAATTAGTACATTAATAATTATTTTATAGGACTCGAAACATCACCCGTAAAATGCAATATATATTAGTGCAAATCTACCTACGCGCCGATCAGTACGGCCGCGGCGCAATTTTGTAAAAGGGCTCTTAAGTCCCCACTTACGGGGCAGAGGGGATGGTATGTGATGATGGAATAGGAAGAAAAGGCATAATCCCACTGCGTGAACCCAGTGCGGATTGGTGAGTGCTAACGACTGCAGCAGATGCAGCCAGGACCAACTGCTTAACGTGCATTCCGAAGCACAGGAGGACCTCGAGTAAATTTTTGGTCACCTAACCAATAAGTGTGAACCAATGAATGAATGACCAATGATCAAGGGCGGATCCAAGGGGGGGGGGGGGGGTCATGACCCCCCCCCTGGGCTGGGTCCATCTGTACCCACTGTGACTTAACCACGACTATATGACCCCCCCCCCCCTGGCGCCTAAGCTGGATCCGCCCTTGCCAATGATTCAAACTATGAAAGTTGTTTAACTTCAACAATCGCAGCCGAACGCGCTGGGCACTTGCGCCATCTCCTTTGAGCTCCTCAAGAGATTTCAATACGAAAATGTGAATGACGGTTGCATTCAGCGACCACAAGGGAAAACTCGGCTAAAACAAATGACATTAGGGGAAAGTTGCCAATCTAACTTTGCAAGAGCCATGGTTATTACATTATTAATGTACGTCGTGTCGTCTTGTGTTCATATTTCCTTCGCGTATGTAAGAAAATGAAATATTCGTTTTATTAGGCAATAAGTACTTACATTTATTGCCTCATTATTGAATATGGAGTCACGCAGGCATCTGCATTTGGCAGTATTTATGTTTGATCTGTTAAAATTTAAGAACCCGGAATACCTTTACAAAAAGTTACAGTTTCGTACCTTCCATTCTCGATATGGACCAGGTGTTTGCAGATCAATACGTCCGATATTGGCGACGCAAAAACATAAGACAGTGGCATTTACAGGTAGTTTCCGCCACCAAGCGACTAAATGTTGGAATGATTTACCTCCTCCTATAAGACACGTAATATCAAGGTACACTTTCAAAAAGCAAATTAAATTAGCCTTACTGAATTTGCAAACTTTAGGCATACGCACTAATTGTCGTTTTGGTGGAGGTTCTTCTGTAAGCATTCAATCTTCTTGACATTCAAATTAAAATTTATATTTTATATTATTACTTACACATTTATTTAATATTGTCTACACAATTTTGTTTTTAATGATTAATTACATACATTTATTTATTATTATTTAGAAAATTTTATTAACAAATATTGCTAGGTAAATTAATAATGAAGTAAATGATGTTCGTGTATTGTGTTTGTGTGGCACTAGGGAATTACAATGCCAGCTTTGCAGCGTACCTACATCCTCGCGCTTCCTAGGGGCAGTTGCTGAAAATCAGCATTTTGTCTATTAAGGCAAAAACACTGCTGAGCTTCTGCCTATTTGCATCACTGTCACTCACTAATGATTGTAGTTCATACTAGTTATTTAAGAACTGTTAAACTTTTAATCATTTATATCTGCTTATTATTAATTGTACTAATTTGTGATGCAAATAAATGAATTTATTATTATTATTATAATTATTTATTTCAACATAAAATTTTCCGCGATGAATTTAAAATGTTACCAGGGGGTCGATCGCTTAACGGAATTGCTATGGCTTTCGTTATCGCCTACGTTTTCATTTTGGTATTTCTGACTGCCTTAGATAGTTAATGTATCAAATATTCCATGCTAATATCAAAATCTTAAGTGCAGTCTAAGTTAGGCTTGGTTTTTAGTGAATTGATAAACAAAGAAGGACACTGTAAAACGGTATGAAAATAAAGATTCAAGTTTTTGATATTTATCTCTATTATGCAAGTTTTTTATTCGCAGACTAAGCCGCAGGCGTAGCTACTCCTCACTAATGTTCTAAACCCGAAAGTTACTCTGATTTTATGCATTCACGCCTAAAGTATTAAACCTACTTTAATGAATTTCCGCATGGAGGTTGGAGGTGAAGAGAAACTTAAGAGAATTGTCGAATATATAGAGGGATGTAAGTTTGTATGCAAAACCAATTATTTAACAAGGACGAAGTCGCGGGCACCAACTAGTTTCACATAGAGTTGAAACAAATATAACTCCTAAAATTACCGATTAAAGTGTTCTTTTCAAAAAAACTAACGCAAGTCACGCAACATTAAAATTTTGATTCACAACATTTAATATAAAAAAAATGTACGAACTGTTTGTTTTTGTTCAGCGGTTAGTCCAGCTCACGCTAGCCAGGTTTCTGATGACAGAGAGAAAACAAAAATAACTAAATAGTCTATTCACCCCAAACACGATAATTTTTCTCACAGTCTCAAACATAAAATATTTATATATAAAAAAAAAAACAATAGTATTGAGACATGCGCAGTTTGCTGCATCCATACAGTCACAATACTGATAAAACGCGATTGATTTATTACGTGTGTGTTGTTTGACATAAGTCGACCGTTAATGATCTATAATGATTGTTAGTAATGTTAGTGAACTGTTGTTAGTGTGGCTGGCACTAAATAACTGTCCCTTTCCTTCTTATAAATCGTAAGGTCGTAAGTATATATGGCATTTTTATGTTTTAGTTATATCCCTAAGCGGTATCGTTGAAGTTTGGCTATAGGAAGGAAATAAAGGACATCGACGAAATCGGCCCTAGCATGCCCAAAAGAATGTTCTTCACTATTATTTTTCTATTATTTTTTTAACTTATTAGCAATTAATCACAGTAAACGGACAATCTGTTTAAAAAAATAAAAAATAAAAGTTCTGTTACTAGATACCACAGTCTGTTCATCCAACTTGTCCTATTTGGTAATCAATCTTGGCACTCCTTTTCATTGAAAATACAGCATTAAAAATCAACTGATAACTGGATTCAATAGGTTTCAGTTTATAATAACGATTTATTTTAATAGTTTATTGGCTTCGTTAATATTTTATTATTAAATTGGTGTTTTTGTTAAAAAGTTGTGCTAAGATTGTTTACCTTAATAAATGCAATATAGGCGACCATAGGTATTAATCAACATAAAAATAGAACTAGGTACCTTAGTTAATAATACTTATTACTAGTATTTATATTATATTTAATTTAATAAAAAGATTATTTCTGAAATTACCTATGTAAAGACAGTTTATACTGCCATCCCATGTAATATCTGTTTATTTTTATGAAAATCATAATGATAACCAGGTACATACCTAATTACCGATACTAAAATATAGAAACAGGTAAATGGAAAGACTTTGAACATTTCATTTGAAAAGAAATCTATTATTACTACAGGTTGGTATAGGTATCATAGGTGCCAAGTGCCAACTGCCATCACTCATAAATCAATATGAATATAAGCATTTATAATTTTTATTATTAATTGCATTTGATGTTCATTTAATGCATATTATTTAAGTGCTTACATAGAGGTAAACACTCAATCTATTCAGAATATATAAAGTGTACATCTTTTACGATTAAGTATAATAATTATAACCTCAAAATCTAATACATTCTGTAGTAGGCCACGGTTCCTCAAGTTGTCCGTATCTCAACAAATGCCTAATTAGAGTTTATGAATGATTCCGAACACAACTAGCATATTCTAATTGCTGGGCGTTCTAGGGCATTCAATGTATGGGGAACGAGCAATGTCCTTTTTAAAGAACATTTCATTTGTTGTTTTTTTTGCATTGCCAAATTTTGCGAAGGTTTAACCCGTACAGAAGTTAATCTACATACAAAGTGCGCTCGATCAACGATGACGTAAGCACCGCTCACGGACAAGATATCTCAGACCAGTTGAGACCGCTTCGAACGTTAGTACCATCTGCTTGAGACACGCGTCTGTGAACTTTTTGTGCAAAAATGAAGCAACAAAAAACAAGTTATTAAGTGTATCTGTTTAGTAGACGTTTGTCAAAATTCAACATTAAACGGTAAATTGTCATTTTTTTTATTTGTAAAATAACATTAAAATAAAAAACAATCAAACGTGTGTCACTACCGTGATAGTTTTTAGGGCCTAAGCCAATGTTGACAATCCTAGCGCGACCGCCGAGCGTAGGTATGTAAAGTGAAGTACATACAAGAGATTACCTTCTGTACTCCTCATTTTGTGGTAAAATTATGTTTAATTCATCTTTGTCATAATTATAGCTTCTGGTGATTGTGATTTATTGTTGATTGGTGATTTATTTGTTTATTACGTTTTCGTACTCATTAAATAAAACAAGTTTCAACGGGTTAGATGCACTGATTTTATTTATTTATTGACGTATTAAGTAAATTTAAATCATTATTCCGGCGAATATCCAAAGGTATAAATAAAATCAGTGTATTTAACTAGTTGAAACTTGTTTTATTTTCTGGTGATTTGTTAAGGTTAAAAGCATATTTTTTATTAAAGAAAGACAGGCAACCAGTTCGTCTAATAAAAACAATCCATGGTTCGAGAATGCCGATTTTGGCATTTATGAAAAGACTCGTACTTATCAAGGAATATGTTGACAGACAATGCTCTTCATTTGTTAAGAATCTTCTTCTTGGCCTTTGGGGGCGTCCATAAATTATGTAAGATGTGTAAGGGGGGGAGGGGGTCGAGTCAAATCTCATCTAATCTTACGTTGGAGAGAGGGGGCGTCACGGCAAATATCACGCATTTTTATTCTGATTAGAACAAAAAAATATTATACTATTTTGGTCCATTTAATCCAGATTATACACGCTTAAGATTTAATCTTAAGCGTAATCGTAATACGATTAAGATCATTCACTAAGCAAGCGCGTATGTTCCGCAAAGTGCGAACCTCACCGACTGTCACAAGACGAGCCAATGCGCCAACGGTTTAGAGTGGCTAGATCAGAATGAAGTTGAAGGAGCAGATGATTTTACTGAAAATCATATGGACATGTTGGTTCCAATAGTCCCTCTTGAGACCGCGCATGATTCTCCATGGACTGATTTAGAGTTGATATTTTTTTAATCACATTAGTTACGATTTAAATAATCTATTGTTAAATTTTTATTACACTTAACTCTCAGAAATAATTATTACTAGTCTTAACTATGTAGTCATAAAAAAACTAGATTCTATATAAAACCAACAAAAGAACATTATTACCATAATTAGTTTCCTAGGCAGAGTCTATATACTAGAAGTCAGAGCCAAAAAAAGCTAGGTAAGTTATGGAATAAGTAATTTTCACAGTAAAGTAGGTAAGGTATATACACCCCAGCAAACCTCTTAAGCAACGACCGTAGGCAAGGAAGCCTGCGCAGTAGCAATTTTACATACAAAATCGTCTACTGCGCAAGTTTATTTGTCTGTGGTTTTGCTCAAGAAGTTTGCCGCTACCTATAGGATAAATTATAACAGGTTTATTATATTCCTATTTTTTAAGTATTTAACTACTAGCTGTATTGTAATAACTAAAGAAAATTTCACTTCAAAATAAATTTACGCGGTCCAGGCAGCCGACGGGACTCGAACGCTATCCGGGCGGATGGATCCACCGACAAATTATTCTACCGCGTCCTTAATAGCCGTGTCGAATTATGCTAGTATTTCTGAGGCTGCAGGGCAACGCCATCTCTCTGCATTATAACAGGTGTTCAATACCTGAAAGTGGCAGGTTTTGTGGTCGACGGTGATGGTGAATGTGGAGTCGTCCTCATCGTCGATGCCGATCACCGCGGCGCGCAGGCGCACGCAGCCACACATCATCTTCTCTTACAGAATAATATAGGTACGTATAAGAGGTGTTCAATACCTGAAAGTGGAAAGTCTTGTGGTCGACGGTTATGGTGAATGTGGAGTCGTCCTCATCGTCGATGCCGATCACCGCGGCGCGCAGGCGCACGCAGCCACACATCATCTTCTCTTACAGAATAATATAGGTACGTATAAGAGGTGTTCAATACCTGAAAGTGGAAAGTCTTGTGGTCGACGGTTATGGTGAATGTGGAGTCGTCCTCATCGTCGATGCCGATCACCGCGGCGCGCAGGCGCACGCAGCCACACATCATCTTCTCTTACAGAATAATATAGGTACGTATAAGAGGTGTTCAATACCTGAAAGTGGAAAGTCTTGTGGTCGACGGTTATGGTGAATGTGGAGTAGTCTTCTTCGTCGATGCCGATCACCGCGGCGCGTAGGCACACGCAGCCACACATCATCTTCTCTTACATAATGTAGGTACTTATAAGAGGTGTTCAATACCTGAAAGTGGAAGGTCTTGTGGTCGACGGTGATGGTGAACGTGGAGTCGTCCTCGTCGTCGATGCCGATCACCGCGGCGCGTAGGCACATGCAGCCACACATCATCTTCTCCTATAGAATAATGTAGGTACGTATAAGAAGTGTTCAATACCTGAAAGTGGAAGGTCTTGTGGTCTACGGTGATGGTGAACGTGGAGTCGTCCTCGTCGTCGATGCCGATCACCGCGGCGCGTAGGCACATGCAGCCACACATCATCTTCTCCTATAGAATAATGTAGGTACGTATAAGAAGTGTTCAATACCTGAAAGTGGAAGGTCTTGTGGTCTACGGTGATGGTGAACGTAGAGTCGTCCTCATCGTCGATGCCGATCACCGTAGCGTGCAGGTACCTCAGCCACACATTATCTTCTCTTATAGAATAATGTAGGTACGTAGAAGAAGTGTTCAATACCTGAAAGTGGAAGGTCTTGTGGTAGACGGTGATCGTGAACGTAGAGTCGTCCTCATCGTCGATGCCGATCACCGCGGCGCGCAGGCACACGCAGTCACACATCATCTTCTCTTACAGAATAATGTAGGTACGTATAAGAGGTGTTCAATACCTGAAAGTGGAAGGTCTTGTGGTCGACGGTGATGGTGAACGTAGAGTCGTCCTCATCGTCGATGCCGATCAGCGCGGCGCGTAGGCACACGCAGCCACACATCATCTTCTCTTGTAGAATAATGTAGGTACGTATAAGAAGTGTTCAATACCTGAAAGTGGAAGGTCTTGTGGTCGACGGTGATGGTGTACGTAGAGTCGTCCTCATCGTCGATGCCGATCACCGTAGCGTGCAGATACCTCAGCCACACATTATTTTCTCTTATAGAATAATGTAGGTACGTAGAAGAAGTGTTCAATACCTGAAAGTGGAAGGTCTTGTGGTCGACGGTGATGGTGAACGTAGAGTCGTCCTCATCGTCGATGCCGATCACCGCGGCGCGCAGGCACACGCAGCCACACATCATCTTCTCTTACAGAATAATGTAGGTACGTATAAGAGGTGTTCAATACCTGAAAGTGGAAGGTCTTGTGGTCGACGGTGATGGTGAACGTAGAGTCGTCCTCATCGTCGATGCCGATCACCGCGGCGCGCAGTCGCACGCAGCCCCGTCGCACGCCACGCGTCATTTTCTCTTTTGACTGGAAATAGTTAAATAACAAATTTAAGTATAATTCTTTAACAGGAGAGATTGTACTACGTGTCTGAGAACTGGTACAAAAATCAACAGGGCTATTTTAAATGTCAGGGGTCACATTAAAAATGTATATGAACCACGGATTACCATAACTCTTCATTTTGTCCGTATATATTTTATCCGGGGATTGAGTAAAAAATGGTAGATTTAATTAAGTATAAACAATGGAATTCATCGTGATTCCTGATGATCCATTTGCAGATAAAGATAAAGAACAACCGATGTCTTACAATATTATGTTGACTTAGATGCAGATATGTTAATCGTTACAATGGAAGATATAAAACCATATAAAAGGCTAAGGTCAAGGGATAACTGTCATCAATACTATATTTTTATACAGGACGTAGCAAATAACTCCACTATGAAATGAAAAACATTTATTGGCCATCATAAAGAATAAATAAGAATAGAAAGATAAGCTATTTTAACTATATGTATTCAAGACAAAATTAAATAATATTTATGTAGACGGCCAATCAGGACCCTGCCTCGGCTTATGCTGACACAGTACACTTGCTGTTAAGTGTAAATAAAAAAAAATGCGACGATAGCGGTAAAGTCTGCCCATCTAGCCATTCCCATAACAAATCTTAAATCCCCTACCTCGTGGAGCCCGACTCATCAACAGGAGAACACAGCTTAAATATTATAGTATTATTTACTGTCTTCGCTATGATGATATGAAGGTTACTTTCATACATGCACGTCATGCATTACCTTATATCCCCAATTACGGAAAAGATTATAACTTTGAGGGTGAAAAATATAAAAATATCTAAGTACTATTATTCAGTAATAAATAATGTTTGCATTTTACTCGAAATAATTTGAATTGTGCCGTTTCGTTAGTAAGCGCTGGCCTTTATTGTTTCTTGCAACTTGACACTGGTCACAATGTTAAAATGATTTAATTTCATTCCAATCTATATACAGGTTGATAAAAACAGCAAGGTCTTAAAATCTACGTCGAAATATTAAAATTGTCCAGCATCATCACCAGCCTATTTATGTCCCCACTACTGGGGTACCTTTTTTTTTTTTTTTTAATACGCAGGTAAAAAATCTATTTACAGACGACGGCGCCTTTAAGAGGCACACCGCCGAACGGACCTCACACCTGGCTCCCGCAAGTCTTACGAACCCCACAGTGGCTGCCCACCGAGGACCCCGCAACTCTTACGGGCGCTTTACGGTATAATATCCGCTAAAAAAGTCCTGCGAATACCCTCTAAGCTGCTTAGTGCGAAACCGCGGGATCCCCGTTTAGACTATTGGGGTACCTGCCCTCCTATGTAGATTGCTGGTGCTAACGACCGGGGATGTAACGGAGGTAAATTTATCGGAACCGAAGTTTTTAAATTTGATTTATCGGAGTCGGAATCGGAGGCAGAGTCGGGGTCAGAGGCAGAGTCAGAAGTGGTCACAAGAGAGATATTATTCATTGAAGAACAATTAAAAACATCATTCAGTCAACCTTTTTTCATTTTATTTTTAAAATAACCTTTTGCATTTAAATTTAGTTATTATTCCCCCGTTTAGACTATTGGGGTACCTGCCCTCCTATGTAGATTGCTGGTGCTAACGACCGGGGATGTAACGGAGGTAAATTTATCGGAACCGAAGTTTTTAAATTTGATTTATCGGAGTCGGAATCGGAGGCAGAGTCGGGGTCAGAGGCAGAGTCAGAAGTGGTCACAAAATTGTCCGCCGTAGAGTTCTTGTAAAATACTTTAACCTACTTTTGGTCTAATTGTCCTGGGAAGTCATCATTTGGGTGATTAACACCTCAAATAAAAAAAATGTAATGATTAATATGTAGGTACTTTATACGTCAGTTTCCATTAAACTTGCTTAGTTTTGGACTAAATAATTGAGGTGAGCTGCCGGAATTTGTTATTTAAAATGGAAAATGCTGCACTTATAACTGCCTAAATACTCACATATCATTTAATCGATTTCAAACTTTGGTTGTATATTTTGGCAAAGTTAGTTTAAATCAGCCTATATAAGAGGCAAATCGATTCCTCACGGTTAATTCAGTATAGGCAGGCATTTCAGTCAATTTTGAAACGACATGGTGATGAGTGAAATCATAAAGTGTAAACTGATAAAATTATGGATTATGTTACAAATGCTTATTACGTTGTATTCTACGAGAGAGCAGGTCAGTATTTTGCCAAATTAAACAAAAAAAATGTGCCTATAGTTTATTAATAAAACATCAGACTCCAAACATAAGCCTAGAAAAGTATCATCCATCATATATAAAACTCTAATCAAATGCGCAACCTTTTATGTGGATATTTATATACTTAAAACAAAGCAGAAAAAGAACATAACCTCTCACATTTACCCATTGCATCAAATACACCAAATTCAGTTTTAATAGTCATGATCAAATCGTGCGCCGATCTACGATAAGATGAAACGATAACTACTAAGCTTGTAGATAACTAAGTAGCAATTATTATCTGTAACAATAATGCAGTTAACTTGAGGTTTATGCATTGCAGCGACCGAACTATATGTTTAGATCAAGGAGGTATCATTGAATTAAGGATTTATTTCATCATTAACAGCATATTGTTACGATAGCATTATTTTCTGTAAGTAATAATGTTACTGACATTATTACTTCAAAATTTCAATATCGTTTATTCAAATTAGACTGTTACGATACGAGTTACTTTGAAAGTCGATAAGCTTTGCCGTCGCGCGTCGGTTCTCAAACGTAACTCAATCTATGAGGGAAACTTATACTTAGATAACAACAATCCTTGCACCTTTTACCCAAAATTAAATCTTAAGTTGCAGCTACAGGATCGCGTCCACGATATTGTAAAATCCCAGGTGTGTTATCGTGGGTTGTGAAATCATATTTTATGATAATTTGTCAAACCTATAGTAGTATCAATCTAACAGTTTCAGTCTGCTTCTTAATAATCATTTTTCTTTAGGCTATATAAAATGAAAACTGTCACAAATCAGTTAACACTGCGAACTTCGTACAGCTTTCAATAATTGGAAGAATAGAAAGATATCCTTTCGACAGGAACGAAGCTTATAGCAATTTTTTGGAGGAATCTTCTTTACATTATTCGTTCAGCAATGTAATTTTTATAGTTACTTCCGACTGAAAATTCATTACATGTCGCTACAAATTGATTAATAGAGGCAAGCCTTATTTCATAGGCAGTAGTCAATCTTGGAATAACTATCACTGTTTGGAGGAATTCCTTAGACAATAAAAATAATTCCGCTCCAGAAACACCTTATTACTATCTACATTTTTTTTCCAACATTATAGCTGTTATTCCAATAGAAGCAACTGCTTCCCGAATGTCAGATTTCTCATGAACAGTGGCCAAATTCAATGATATTAAAAATGTCTTCGGACCTAATAATAAGCCACAAAGCAATTAATAGATCTGGCCCACCCACCGTAAAGACGAGCATTTATGTCATTGCATCTTGCTTATGTTCATATTTGATCATTAATCATCATCATTTCATTCAACTCATTCATAATGACGCCGACTACCACCATTGGCTGCATCTCCTTCAGTATTAACACCGACATTGCATTACGTAATTATACTCTTCGAACGCAGTTTGGCTTTGGTTCCACCGAATGGAAGTTAGGTGTTGCGTTTCGATTTTAACGCAAGCATCAAATAGGTATTTACTTATTGCCGTTTTGATGCATTATCAAACAACTAGCAAACCAGTGAACATTTGGTTCACCAAAACCTAAAAAAAAATGTATTTAATTAATTGAGAACTTCGGTGATTTTGTGTGGTTTCGTTTGAAATTCGTGATTTCTCGAAAACCGGAAGTGCTACGTTACTCAAATCCGGTTTGTAGTCATATCAGACTATTCTTAACTTATAACTTAAATATTCTCTTTATCTATCTCTTACGGTTTGGCCGCTGAAACAGCACCACAGACAGACGGACGGACGGACGGACTTGTCTAATAGATAAGAGATAATTATGCGTGATATTTTATCGAGCAGACCAACTTAGAAGTATTCTCATTTGAAGTAAAAGCAGTAAACATGTGTATGTTAGAAGGAAGATTCGCGAAGATTCAGAGTTGACGGAGCAATGTGATCACTAAATCGTCGAAGGTTACTTTAGCATATTAAAAGGTGTTAAGATTGGTTTCCAGGTCTTTGCTCTATATTCTCCAATCACGGTCAATCCCTTGGTCAACCCTTATGATTAGCAGGGAAATTAAGAGAAGTTTTATTTGTTGATAACCAAAATCAAACGCAGAAATTAAAATTTATGTCCTGTTAAATAAAAACATGATATTGTTACTTATCATATTTCTCCTGTCTCCTTGCCAAAACATAAACATTATTTCTGTCGCTTTAGATTTGTGTTTGCTATTTACCTGCAATTTTTGTGACTTTTCTTTATATATCTAGTATATCACTAATTTGAAGTGAATTCCAAACAAAAAACCTCAAATATTTCTAACATATTGTTTTTCCGTAACATTTTTTTGTGAACCTTGTCCTGACAATAACGAACACAATAAAAAAAGAATTATCCAAATTAGTTCAGTCGTTCGGAAGTAATGCGCATCCATACTTTTAGACAATTCATTTTTATACATATACATCTATGCAAAATACTTATCGCAATGTTTTTTAATAGTGCAGTCAATCTATCGAAAAAAAAATCGTTTCAGTGAAAAAAAAAACCTGTTAATATCATTTTAATGGAAAACTTTAAATTGAAAAGTTGTTTCGTACATAATTACCACCAACTTTTGTATAAACAAATTTTTTAAATTACTTACAGTTTTCAAGTTACAGTGCAATACAGCGCTACGTATACAACACAGTGAGTGCCAACACAGTGGGCCAATTCGGCCATCTACTCTATTCACAAAGTACATTAGTAAATTATTACAATCATGAAAAAAAATAAAAAATAGTAAAACGTACATTGAAATGTGCACTGCAAATGTGTACTTGAACTGCCCAAAACCGCTCTATTGGATTTTTCATACCTGCGCAATTTATAACTTGAAAACGGTAAGTAATACAAAAAAATTGTTCACATAAAAGTTGTTGGTAATTATGTCCGGAACAATTTTTCCATTTAAAGTTTTCCATTAAAATGATATTTTCAGGGTAAAAAAGTGAAAAAACATTTTTTTTGAGACTTTAGCGCCACCTACAATGCGCATTTTTTGTTGTACGAGATTGCAACAATAACATAAATTGTAGTACTCAACGCCCTCTACAATTACGGTAAAAAAAAAAGTTTCTAAAATGCATACAAAACAAGAAAAATGCGTTTTAAAAAAAATTTGTGGGTTTTTTTGAGTTTTTCCATAAACGCCTACGAGCTGAACATGCCCATCGCCAAGGTGGCTTACTGACGTTATTTGGCAACAGAAAAAACAAGACTTACCCTTTAGGTTTTTTTTTCACCACTCAATCTACAGATTGACTGTACTATAAGTCCTGTTATGTGTTTCAACAGCGATGTTGATGTTTTAATAAGTTTGTACAATATCAAAAAGATCGTAACAAATAGAAATTATAACAGAAAGTAAAACGTCAATCATTAGGAAAGACGAAGGATCGTCCCTTGTGATTTTGTTTTAATCTTGATAAACGTGGCATTGCATTCGGTATCTTCTGACGTTTGGATTTTTTTTATTCAAGGTTCAATGCTATGAAAAATAACTAATGTTTCAGTATTGCTTCGACTTAATACAGAAAATTGACCTTGTCAAAAATGTATTTATGCACATAATTTGAATTTTATAGGTTAAGAAGGAACTTCACCTTTAGTACAATGTTTCATGTAAATGAAATCGAGCGTAAATAAGAAGAAATTGTCAAGTAAATGTTCACACACGATAAGATTGCCGAATTAATCCACATCAACAGAAAAACTTCAGTTGAGCAATTAGATCAGATATAACAAATGAACATTATTCACAACACGAATTTTTATATTCGCGCTTGGCTAAATTTTAATAAAGCATTGTGCAATGTGAAAAATATCTAGGCCAATCGCAACCAGCCTGTAGTTTATCTCTCAACAATAATTTAAATACGATACGTCTAACTCTAATGACTAGTACAATGTTAGATTGTATCTCCACACGAACTGTAAAGGTACTTAGCGAATAAAATGAGTTAATTTATAAAGAATACCACAATCTTGATATCACAACTAAAGAATTTAGGAAAAGTAAGGACATTCGAGAATTCGGTTCAAATTCACACTGTTAACCAAATTCAGAGAGGGTCGGTGAAGAACATTGAAACCACTTACAAGTTTTCTTTATATATTTTTAAACATGACAACGCAACAATCCACTCGTTTGGTTATTAACAATTTTAGCCCAATAACAATATCTGCATGTGTTATCCATTAGAAAATCTGCCAAAGAATTGCCTGCCCGCTCCACGCTGGATTACTCGGCTGAACACTCAGTTACCTACTACCAAATACAAATTAATCCAAAGTGGCTCGATATACGCTAGCGCATGAATTAGTCAAATTCAGTACCTTTTAAATTATTTTAAACTAAATAATTAAATGATTCAACAAATATTACAGTAATAAATGAAATATTTGTTCATGTAAATTATTAATAAATCGGTAACGAAAAACAATGCCTTTATAGTGAGAAAACAAATAAAGATAACCATAGACTAGTTAACTTTACGTCACTTGAATAGGTCGAGCAACTTATTCTATAGCAAAGTATCTTTACTTTGTATATAATAGCAAAACGCTTACAACACATCGGATTTAAATATTAAACTGTTAGTATATTGATGCTGTTCTTGTTAGCATTTTTAAAGACGATTTAAAAATAGTGCATTGAATATTTTCTGGTATCGCCCTTTGAAAGTTATAAAAAATATTCTTAGCATGACCTAAAGTTTATTAGATACCTGCTTAATTATCATTTTGCGGACAAGGTCTCAGTTTCAGGAGTAAGGAAATCAAAAAAAGGGTCTTAAAAGTCAAATAACATAATCATTGAAATACACGCAGATTACATTAAAAGCAACACGATTTTCAGATCGTTTTATAAATACGTAAGCTAAATGTCTTAAGAGTAATAACGCCATTTGTCATTTCGGTTGTAATGAGATAAAGGACCTCAGAAATAATTTGTGTAGGAAAGGACTCTTACGTTGCCTTTCAGGCTGCCAACCTGTCATTCTGCTAGCGTTGTTCGTACATCACAAAGAACACGAAATGGATGTGCCCATAGCTTTGTGGTTCGACCCGTTTATCCGGATGGAAAATCTTGTTAGTCCAATGATTTTTAGATAATATAACTTTTTAAACATCTCCCCTAAGCTAGTTTCAGCATAAACAGTATAATATGCGATGTGAAGAAATAAAGCTGTATATATGCTTTTTATAATTAACTAGCTGTGCCCCACGGTGTTACCCGCGGTTTATTAGGGATATTTTCCCGCAGTAAAACGTAGCCTATGTGTGTAAGCATAGGCTACGTTTTACTGCGGCTTTCCAGGGTGTAAGCTAACTCCACACCAAATTTTATTAAAATCGCTCCAGCCTTTTAGACGTGAAGAAGTAACAAACATACACACTCAAATACTCACAAACTTTCTTCTTTATAATATTAGTGTGATTATATCGGACGGAATAAACATAGAGTCATAATCTATGGCTTATATTATAATCTGAAATGAGAACTAAAAATTATATATACTTATATAATAGATATAAGTCGCGGCACGAAACTAGTCCTGCCCGTTATTGCGCAGAAGTAAAAATTAAGATGTCTTGGGGGGAAACGACCCGCGCACCTCGTTTCCCCCAAGACATCTTAATTTTTACTTCTGCGCAATAACGGCCAGGACTAGTTTCGTGCCGGGACTTATATCTATTGTGTTTTCTTGCCCCCAGATCAGAGAGTAAGAGATTGGCCACTGATGACGTCACCCAAACCTCTCGTCACCATCATCGCGACATACCTGACGATAATAAAAGTGGTGCTTCCCAAGTTCATGAGAAACAGAAGAGCTGTCGATTTAAGAATCGTCATCAAATGGTACAACATTGTCCAGATCATCGCTAACGCTGTAGCCACTTGGGGAGTAAGTAATTCAACTTGTCGAAATCAACATGCATCAGTGTGCTGTGCAGTTATTTTTACCGTATTTTATTTAGATTCAATATTTCATTTTGGCATTGTTATGTAAACTTAAAACTAAATTTAACAGCAGTCTCAACTTTTCATTTTCTCTAGAGCAAGTTAAGGTCAGAACTCAAATCTAAACGATCAATGGGTACGGTTCAAATTTGTATGGTATTCAGCCTCCAGCAGACTCCAAATTTTTATGTCATGTAATGCACTATTGTAAATCGTTTGACAAAAATCTAGAATCTATTTTATCGCCTTTTTAAATATTTATTATTATATAAAATGACACAGTTATTGATTGGCACGTTCATTTATATAATGTTTGTTACCAAAGCATCAACAAATATTTTATATTCAATAAGTAACTAAAGCTATTCAATAAGTAAATAATGATTTCGTTCATCTCTCATTATTATGCTATTAGGTATTTTGTGGGTATTGAATTTCAAGAAAAATCTATCTAAAGTTTGTATAGTAATTTCCCACTGATTTCACAAATATCGGGCATGACTGGAGTGATTGACATTTTCCAGTGATTTAGTTAGAACCGGAATAAAATAAAAAAATATAAATATCTGTTCATGTTTTTACAAAAAATAAATGATATTTATTTTTATTGCTACGATAAGCCGACTACAACTTTTGAACCGTCTCCTTTGTTTTACAAATTTGCGTCACGTTTAACGCAGTAATTTGTTTGTTAAACGCGTCAAAAATTAATCAAAATTTGTTCAGCTGTTTCTGCAGTTCAAAACATTTTCCCATTCATGATAATTACATATTTAGTAAAGGATCCACCAGATGTTATCATGTCTCAATATTTTCCACTAGTAATAAGAGTGAAGTACTAGATCCGGATTGCAGAGTTTAGTTGTGGAACTTTTGTCCCTGTCTTCATGGACTTGACCGCACACCAAAAAACATTGAAGTCAGTCCAGCCGAATAGTAAGAGTTCAGTGATATACATAATTAAAAAAAAATCTGCATTAAAAATCCCTTTCAATTATTAATGGTTATGGTTTCATCCGTTTTTGTAATTACTTTATAATTTTAAACCATTCCAATTTGGTGTTCCCTAAATTTTTATCAATTTATTATAAAAATGGTTTACCTTTAATTTGTCATGCTATTGCTATGAATTGCAATGCAATAACAAAAAAAAACTCCTTATCTTTTAACACCTCTACCTACTTATGTCAAAACATTACGGTTTCGTTGTCATCTATTTCAGTGATATATGAATTGTATCAACATTATTGTTTGTAGCTATCAAGGTGTATTGTTAAGGAAAAGATTTGATTCGATAACGAATCAAGCCATAATATATCTTAAACGTTCACAGTTAAGCTCTATTATCAACATTGTCAGTGAAAGGCATATGCCTAGAGACTGGACCGAGAAGATTTAGACAATGTTGCATGCTAATTATGAATTCATTATCGTCTGTATAACAATACAGAAAATGATGCAAAGCGAATATTTCAAATAAACATTATTTATTTTGTTGATAATGCAGACAAAAAAGTAAACAAATAAATTATGCTAGTGTTATAAAGATGTTTAGTGGATTGCACATTTTATATATTTGCATGCCCCATTTAAAAGGTATGGAAATCCTGAAAAATACAATCCACACATTTGCTTTTCAACAATTCTTACGGACTTCGAATAAAAAAAACATTGGTAAAGTAAGAATAGACCAGCATATTTTAAATATTTAATATAAAAAAAATCGTTTTCACAAATTGCGGTAGTGGAGTAAGTAGAATCCGTTTATTAATCGACTTCAAAAATGGAGGAGGGTCTTGATCTGTCAATTACTTTCCAATACTTATATCATTCTCTGCGATTTTCAAATATTGTAATAAACATTTTGATAAATACATATATTCACTACAAACTATGATCAAATAACGCGTGAGATCCATATTTGTTATTCAGTTTGCGCTTTATGTTAGTGATGTTATCAATGTCCATCAATAATTCGATCACACGTCAACTTTCATTTTATGAAACACGTATAATATTACGTATAATGACGTATGGGAAGGTATTCGGGGAATGTTAACATGGCCAATCCAATATCTCCATGAGACAGCGAGACAACATCACTGCCACACCCACCACTTTCGTTGGCAAGAATTACAAGTTCGGAAACCTTAGTCAGTGGAATGACTCAGAAATGGTTTGTCAGGCGGATGTTCTTCCTCAATTGTTTCATTCGAGTGGAGAGTTCCGCAAGTTTTTGCGTAAAACGATTTCTAAATTTGGGCGAAACTTTTGCGTGGTTGCTAATTTCTCTCTTTCTAATATATTTATTAAAATTGAACTCGTCCAGAATACGAAATAAAATATTTTGAACGACCTCTATATAATTAAACTGTATGAACAGTTGATAACGGTTGTGTTAATATTATTAACACATCTTATACAAGCCGAATACTATATAACCACACACACTTCACATCACACCCAGTAATGGCGTTCACGATTTATCTACGTTGTCGACGAAACGTACAATTTCATTAATGCATTGTGCTCGCATCGATCGATCTTGGTATCGAGTCATCTGTCTTCAGGTTAAGAATAGGCTCCATAGCCATTCTTGTAATAATTATGGCTCCGTTGCATCATTCCCATTACAGGTGATGATTGCCTGTGACACAATCATAGGAATTAATTTTGGATATGGCTATCACCTCCATCAGTCAGTTTTAAAATTGAATTCATCAAATTACAGGTGGAAAGTAGATTATCTTGAAATGATGATACATTGACTGGAATGTAGCCTGATATGAAATCATCATTTTTTACATGCAATGTCAATCAGCTAGCAACATCGGTGGAAATTTGATTTACAACGAAATTAGATTTAACCTGAGTCAGAATGAATCTAGGTTAACTAAAGCCTTTGCGCAAACGTATACAATTATGCTACCCAAATAGGACGCAGGCATTGGCAAAATTGGATGTAGTTCAAAAATATAAATCGTTGATAGATTTATGCTTATAGTAAATGCTTTGGATGGTGATGATAACTAGTATCTACTATAATTGAGTTACGTATAGGAAGGTTTGATTTAGCACATGATTATATCAAAAATATTTGATAAATAACTAGGAGATATATAGATAAGTACAAAAATAACTAATGAGTTCAAGATTAACGACTTGAATTTGTGATTGAAAACTTAATTCCCAAGGAAGAAAAGTTATGACATCTCGATAGCGTGTGCTAGTGCTGTCGAAACCGTGTTATATTATCCAAAATACTAACACATGATTCTATATGTAACTTATGTGATTAATAATATTTCCTCCTTCGTTTGCATTCAACAAAATAGTTCGTTCGCGTCTTTGCTAAGCCTAACAAAATTAGTATGACACGAGTAACTATTAGATGAATTGTTTAACAGAACAATTTTTGTTTCTGGATTATTTATATCATCGTAACGTAATGTATTTCACAACTTTAGGTTGTGTAATTGTGTATATTCCGGTTATATTGCCTGGGTAACTTCTATAGGTATTACATAGTTTCAAAGTTCGAGCGACGAGCAAATGGAATGAGCTCTCCTTTCGCTTAGAAGAACTTATAATGGAAAATGCGCTCGAGTGCTTTCATTCTCTTAACTTTCAAACTAACGTGCTGTTCCAACTGATCCATATGAGAAGTATCATTAAAAGAAAATAATATGTTCGTAATGTATATACGTAAACTATAAGTATACATTGTGATTTGTGATATATTGATATTATTAAACATATACCTGCATGCCAGTTATTGGATGGGTGACCAAAAATAAATTATCTCGAGCTCCTCCGTGCTTCGCAAGGCACGTTAAGCAGTGGCTCCTACTGCATCTGCAGTTTCTCTCGAGACACAAAATATTTTTCGGCTTGAATTGAAGCGCCCGTCTGGGGAAGTAACCTTTACCTTACAGAAGATCACAGTAAAATACCTTTTGGGTAGTGTTGTGTTTCTTCTCAGTGAGTAAGGTTCCAGCCAGGGCTCTACAGGGTAGGGATTGGGTCAGGGTAGGCAATGGTGCGGGATATATTTTTGGTATCGCAAGGGTTTATAAGGCTACTGTGTCCGCTGACGGTAACATCAGGCGGGCCATTTGCTTGTATAGAAGAAATGAATGAAATTGACAAAAACAAATTACGCGATTCGACTCTGTTTCATGCAAGTCATGTCATGTCAGTAACATTTCATTGTACATATCTGAAGAAAAACATCGGGACCGTAGAACTTAATCAAAATAATAAAATATTTTTTCATACAAATTGGAGAAATATTTTTTATGAGATTCGATTCCTTTTACATATATATGTAACCGGCAATCTGTATAATGCAGGTATTAAATGTGAAATTAGGTCCTACTCGTCACTGGGCTACATTACGAATAATAGAGTACAGAAGGCCGTGGCATCGCAAACCAGCCGAATTGCATCGCATCTCTCATGCAATTAAAATCGACAATTGACTCGATATCGCTCGCATCACGAGTAAACACGGTAACGTTAATAATAATTATTGTTGTCGTATTTCTTTCCCCCACCACTTCAGTGAATTCTTCAATATTTATTCAAGAATTTTCATTCAGGTCCTAAAGATGTCACCCTATTTAGGGTGAAATCTTCAGGACTAGGTATTTATTAAAAAAAATTGCATTTCTTTGAAATTTGGATAATTCTTAGATCAATCAAAGTCTTTAGAAATTTAGCGAAAGTCTGTGAGTATATAATTAAATAAATACGCTACAACCACCTCGGATGATGGAGGAACAACGAGCAAGAGTTTATTACGTATCCTTGGGGGAGTGGTTATAAGTTGCGCGAAAGGTCGTGGCGGTATTTATGTACCCAACTGTTTCGTTTCTGCAATAATAATTTTGTGATCTGTGTTTGAAAATGTTTCTAGGTACGTTGCTATTTCATAATAAAAATTGATTTTTTATCTTTGAATCTATCGATGCCGATTTCTTCTGAGAAATAACTTTATAAAAATCCATAAATTATATTACTCAACACAGGAAGGCGGTTGATACATTGCTAGGATCTAAGCCGTTGCCCGGAAACAAAAGTGCAAGGTCGTCAAACAGATTACATACAAAAAACCTAAATATAATTTAAAAAAGTAATCCTACGCTAATGTGAATAGGATGTTCTCTCCCGGTCTACCATAGGAGACAAGATTAGAAGAATCAAGGTCTAATGGAAATGTAATGGCAGTTTTTCCATCAGATCATGACATCGGGCTGGACGACGACCTATCACTTCGGCTGCATGCTACCTGATTACTCGATGAAGCCGGAACCTCTCAGGATGCTGCGCTTTCTGTGGTGGACGTTTATTTTGAAATTGCTGGAGCTGATGGAGACTTTGTTTTTCATTCTGAGGAAGAAGGAGAGACAAGCGTCGTTCCTACACGTATACCACCATGTCAGTACGCTGGTAATCACATGGGCTGCTGTCAAATATATCGGTGGTAAGTTATATATAAATTTTATATCTTGGTTAGTGTTAGTAGATATAAATCTCTATTACATTGATTCATATTTACCCCTAAACATTGGTAAAGTTTAAAAAGTCTGGAAACAGTAGTGTCAGTGGTAGCTCAGTAAATGATGTCTCTGAGAGCAATAGAAAGCTGTAGCAAGATAATGATAACATACATATTTAAAATATACGTACGGAAAAAAGTAGATGTACAGTTGCATTACTACCCCATACGATAGTCACAGCGTGTATTTTTGGTTTGAGAGCTAATTTTTCCTAGTTTCACTTCACATGTGTTTTATACTTTGCACGCAAATTCTAAAAAGTTATTGAGCTTGAAGATACTTTCCCAAATCAACAAAAGATAATAATGATTCAGATTTTAGAAATGTCTTGATTTAATTATGAAGTTCAGGTTTGTCAGACTAATAAAAAGAGCTTTTACAAAGGTCCGAGCAAAAGGAATAAGCAGTGGGGAAACTTCAAAGGCTGTTTGAATAATCTGAGAGCGTTCCATAATCTACATGTATATTAGTTTTTCTAAGTCAGCTTTCATTCGATTTTGTTTATTCTCTCTAGAGAGAATATGAGGCTTTACATTACGTAACTTACTGGCGCACGTTTAGCGGATTACCATATATACCTACCAGTGATTCGTTTTTATTTGCAATATGTTAGAATCACGCAGAATTATATATATACCTATTAGCAAATATTATAGCAAACTAATGAAAATTCGAGTCACATATATACTTAAACAACAACCCGACTGTAGTTTCTTTACGCTGAATGAAGTGGGTCTGACGTTTAGTGCTCCCAGACCTTGAAAAGGGGGCAATATGCGTGCGTTGCATTAATTTCTTTTTAAATTAAAAAAAAAAATCTCAAGGACTTTATAATATTAGAAGTTGACCAACCTGTAAAGAACCATTCAAATACGTAGTAATCAGAGACAGTATTAAATGCGGTACAAGTAGGTACACCGTCCATCCCGAAATGTATAAATGGAGGTGCAGCAGCGAATCAAAGTGTGGTACTTATCTATACATATAATAAAATGGTAGGAAAGTCAAAACTGTACATTGAATATTTTTTTAACTTAATTTTAATACTAGGGGTGTGATCTACAATCGATACCGAAGCCAAAAATATAGTTTATAGAATTTTTGTCTGTATGTATGTCCGGGATAAACTCAAAAAGTACTGCATGGATTTACTTCAAATTCGGCACGAATATTATTAGGAAGTCGGGTCAACCTAAAGGCTACATATTATCACGCTATCACCTACAGGGAACGAGTAGTGAACCTTTATTTCTAACTAACTCCACGCGTACTAAGTCGCGGGCGGCCGCTATTATCAAATGGTCTACTGCAAGGCGAGTCCTCTCAGAGTTACAGACGCTTTGCTCGGACTTTAGGATACGATTGCAGAGTAAGTCGCAAGATTTGAATGAAGATAATAATTTAACAACAGTGTGAAAGTTTCATTCCTGTTTTTGGGAAGTATTGGATTTTCGGCAAAGATCGATTCGGTTTTAAGGTAATATATTTTTACTGATGCATGTTCTTTTACAATAAAAAAATCTGCAGCCACATAGATGTACTTATTGGAGAAGGTTGAAGAAACTTTGATAAGTAGAAAATAGTAATATATTACAGAGTAATATTGATAGACATATACAAAAGACACAAAATGACCATTCTAAACCAAAATTAATTAAAGCAATTAATTGAACAATCTCTAACAACGGCAATTGCTGCATCTACTTATCTTTTGGTGACGCAAAACACATTCACCGTAAGTATATTGCGGTCATTTCTGCAGCACGATTAATCTGTTTTCAATATGTCAATCATTTCTGCGTGGAATAACAAAACATTCACTTTAGGGGCAGGCCATAATATCGGAAACGATACACTTTGTTTCTACTAAATATCTATTTTTGCATATAATATAAATCTAAATCACTCTATCGTCACTATTTTTTCAGTATTTTTTGTGATTGTCGCGTACGTAACATTTATATCAGGTAGATACATAGATTATATTTATATGAGGTTGTCACCATTACGTAATTTTTCATGAAGATTTTTATGAATAATACAAGCCTGAGAATATTAACTATAGTCTACTCCGAAGCGAAGCAAGGGCCGTTTACTATTATGTATATAAATATACAATGCGTTTGTTTTGTTGTGTCAGCCATGTCAATCTGAAATCAATAGGTGGAATATTAAATGCTGGTGAGCAAAATATCAGAATGCGCGTCTTATTGTATACATAAGTACTGACATTATGCCATGATATTTAGGCAAATTTATTTGGACAATTACTACTCCTTGACGAAAACAAAATAGATCATAACTTGATGTTTCAATATCGTACAACCCATCATTTAATTAGGTAAACATTTATCGTTATAAACAAAAATATACTTAATTATGCTTAGAATCCGTTGTCTATAGTCTTAAGATCAGGTGTTTGTTTTAGTTTTTAATTGCCACATAAGATCAAAATTTATTTACCGCAAATATCGTGTACACCAATCCTTAGGACTGATATTCGATTAAGCTGTTATTGGGTTATTGAGCTTATGAACTATCATCGACTCTGGTGAGTCATGCGATTTCGTACTCGAATAAGCGACAGTTAATTGTTTGATAATCGCTTTAAATAGATTTTACATAATGTTATTAAGATTGGACTATATTTACTTTTTAATTCGCCTGGAGCATGTTTAATTTCATTAAAACTTTTTCTTTAGTTTATGGTTTTATAAAAATATTTTTTGATACTGTCATTGCTACAAATGGTCTGTCAATAAAAAACACCAAATACGAGAAGACAATTCCTTCTTCTTATTTACTTAAACCAAATCCTGCAACTCTAATAACCCAAGCACGACGAGCATTATTAGAGCTACGTTTTCATGGTTACAGAAATTTGTAGAAAATAGAGTGAAACAAATCCACTTGTTAACAAAGATTAATGAATGGAGGTGGGTCTCATCATCGCAGAATCCAGCAGATTGTTTGTCTAGAGGTCTAGAACCAAATAAATTGTTGGACTGTGTATTGTGGTGGAATGGCCCTTCTTGGCTCAGGCTGCTTAGACAGTCTTGGCCGGTCTTACATAGTTCACTATCATTACAACTTATTCCCGAGCGGTTGACCACATGTAATTTGACTGCATATTTAAGACAACTTCTCCCATTAGAGCGGTGGTCTAGTTATAATAAGACAGTTCGTATAGTTGCATACTTCTTAAGATTTATTAACAATATTAATAAGGATAAGGTAAAATTAATAGGAACTCTTAGTTGTGACGAAATGTCACAATCTCTCAAATTAATATTAAGGGTTGTACAGGAAACTGAATATAGAAACGAAAATAATGCATTGAGAAGGAACGAGGCATTACCTAGATCCAGCGAAGTTATAAGTCTTAATCCTTTTCTTGATTGTGATGATATTTTGCGAGTTGGGGGAAGGTTGGCGAAATCTACACTATCGTTTAATCAGAAACATCCAATTCTCCTTCCGCATAAACATCATTTTGTGAGAATACTATTTCGACATGAACACATTCAACTCTTACACGCTGGACCCACACTTCTGCTGGCACACATTCGACAGAAATATTGGCCGATACGTGGTAAACAATTGGCTAAACAAACAGTAAATAATTGTATTAAATGTTTCAAGGCAAAACCGCGTCCAGTAGAGTACTTGATGGGAGACCTGCCTGCGGAACGAGTAACACCTTCTTTGCCGTTCTCGGTTGTGGGTGTAGATTACACAGGGTGGTTTCAAATCCGTGATCGCAGAGGTAGGGGTTATAAGGTTTTTAAATGTTATGTTTGTATATTTATTTGTTTTGTCACAAAGGGCGTGCATATAGAATTAGTTACGGATTTGACAGTAGACAATTTTTTAGCGGCTCTTCGTCGGTTTATAGCGCGTCGAGGCAAGCCAACAAAAATTGTTTCGGATAACGGAACAAATTTTGTTGGTGCAAATAATGAATTACAGCAAATGTATCAGTTTTTGTTGGATAATGCAGAGTTGATTAATGACTATTTGGTCAATCAGAGTATAGAGTGGTCGTTTATCCCTGTTTATTCGCCTCATATGGGGGGTCTGTGGGAATCGGCTGTACGGAGTTGTAAATACCACTTGAAACGTATTTTAGGGAACGCGTTATTGACGTTTGATGAATTTTATACTATATTAACCGAAATCGAAGCCATATTAAATTCACGGCCTATTACCCCCTTGGAGTCAGAGTGTTCGGAAGTACTAACGCCGGCACACTTTTTCATTGGACGTCCGTACACATCACTACCCGAGCAAGATCTTACGAATACTCCCATCAACAGACTGACCAATTATCAGCAACTACTACGGCTCAGACAACAATTTTGGAAACTGTGGTCCGAACGTTATCTAAGTGAGCTACAAAAGCGTTACAAATGGAGGACTCGCCAACGAAATGTCGAGATTGGTCAGTTGGTTGTTTTCAAGGATCATAACGTTCTATCCAGCAAGTGGCATGTGGGCAGGATCACGCATCTGATACCGGGGTCTGATGGCCAAGTACGAGTGGCAGAAGTACAGTTACCAAATGGTCATGAAACCAGAAGAGCGGTGACAGCGTTATGTCCTTTACCGATTGAGCACTGAAAGACCATGAAGACTTGGAATTTACTATTATTTATTTAGTTGTTTTGTTCGTCTTTTAATATTTACTTTTTAATTCGCCTGGAGCATGTTTAATTTCATTAAAACTTTTTCTTTAGTTTATGGTTTTATAAAAATATTTTTGATACTGTCATTGCTACAAATGGTCTGTCAATAAAAAACACCAAATACGAGAAGACAATTCCTTCTTCTTATTTACTTAAACCAAATCCTGCAACTCTAATAACCCAAGCACGACGAGCATTATTAGAGCTACGTTTTCATGATACTGCAATAATTCTATCTC